TTTTGTATAATGGCAATTTATTTTTACAAACAAGTAGTAACAAATGGGTATATTGATTTCTCAAGTTGCCACTATGGCCCATGGTTAATGAACATTACAAGGGACAATTCCAGTGACTAATTGGTTGTGACTATTTAAAGGTGAGAAACCGGGAACGGAAGGTTGCAGCGCTAGAATGGGGTTGTGCCAGTGAAAGGTGATAGTCTGTTTTGGTCTACGCATAATACAAACCCATTTACTGATATGGATGTGCTAGGTCTACGGGGAGTTTTCAGTTGTATCCACATAGTTAAAAGCTCTAATATTTGCTTGTCTCATACGGAAATATCTATGGATCCTTTATTTAGAATAGAGTATTTTCATGTAGTGTACATGTGTACATGTGTAACCGGTGTACAAGTGTCTGGGTATTATACTGCATTAGTATTTTCTCTGTTGGCTTCCCCCCAATCCTTCATTGACGGAGTTTAGATATTTTTTTTCTCTGATACAATCAGTTTTATAGTATCATTTCAATGACATTCATTGATTTCTTCCCTTTGCTTCTTTCTGGGTCAAATTGTTTATGAATTAATCAAGAACAGAACCCAGACATAAACCATTGTATTGCTGGTTCTCCTCCACAGCCAATCTGCCATGCCACAGCTTTGGAACATTAATATATTAAAGATAATAATCAGAATGACAGCTTACATATAGATATCATTAGGTAGTTCTTTTTCTTTTTTAGTGAGTATATATTTTTTTCTTTTTGGAGATAATTATTTGTTTTATTAAGATTGGATGTATAATTACAAAGTTATAATTTTTTTTAAAAAGTATGTTTTTTTTAGCTTGGAGATAATTGAGTTGATACAGTAATTAACTCAATTATCTCCCAAACAGAGGGGAGGATTCTTACTGTAATAAATGGGTGTGATTATCTATGTACCTGTACGTGATTGGTTGCAACGTTTACAGTTTCAGTGCCCCACAAGGTCCACTTGGGTGGTAACCTTGCTGGGAAACTTGTATATAAGCAGTAATAAACGCTCAGTGCAGTCAGTTCTTCTTCCCCCTCAATCTAGAGTCCTGTCTCTTATTGGGGGCAACCATCTATATCACTACAAGGGATTGCTGTGCTCTGCATGCTCCCTTGGATAATCACTTCTAAGCTCTTTTAAGAGCTTGTTCCTGTTTCCCTCTCTTGAAGGAGAGATTCACCCACTGGAACCTAGAGCCTTGTAGGAGGTCCAGGTTGGGCAGGAGACGGCGAGACCCCATCCAAGCTATGGCAGTTCGTGGGGTCTGCGGTGTCTGGCGGAGCGATTGGAACCCTCTGGAAGTGCTAGGAGCATCCAGTAACGGTGCCAGGCGGTCCGTTACACTAAATATAGGATCTTTCAATCTTCACCTTTATGTGGCGATGAATAAAGGCCCTTAACGTTTCCACTAATGAATGTAGAGCTGGGGTTGGTAGAATCTAGGGTCCCAGTAATCATTTGCACAAGTGAAGCAGTGAATGTTATTTTCTTTTTCTTTACTGAATAGAGGATGAATAAAAGTTCCACCTTTAAACTAAATTAAGAACATGGCTCAATAATGTTTACACACTATAAAGTATTCTATTTCAACTGTCAAAAGTAAAGACAAATAAGTCAATGGGACCTGATGGAATACACCCAAAGCTATTAAAAGAGCTTAGTGGTGTACTAGCAAAACCATTAACAGATTTATTTAACCAATCATTGTTAACAGGAGTAGTCCCAGAAGATTGGAAGTTAGCGAATGTTGTGCCCATTTACAAGAAAGGTAATAGGGAGGAGTCGGGCAACTATAGGCCAGTAAGCCTTACTTCAGTAGTGGGGAAAGTGATGGAAACCATGTTAAAGGATAGGATTGATGAACATCTAAAAACACATGGATTTCAAGATCAGAGACAACATGGGTTTACTTCAGGGAGATCATGCCAAACTAATCTTATTGATTTTTTTGATTGGGTAACTAAAATTATAGATCAGGGTGGTGCAGTAGACATTGCTTACCTAGATTTCAGTAAGGCTTTTGACATTGTTGCACATAGAAGGCTTATCAATAAACTGCAATCTTTAAGTTTGGATTCCAATATTGTTGAATGGGTAAGGCAGTGGCTGAGTGACAGGCAACAGAGGGTTGTAGTTAATGGAATATATTCGAAGCTTGGACTTGTCACCAGTGGGGTACCTCAGGGATCTGTACTTGGACCCATTCTCTTTAATATTTTTATTAGTGATATTGCAGAAGGTCTTGATGGTAAGGTATGTCTTTTTGCTGATGATACTAAGATATGTAACAGGGTTGATGTTCCAGGAGGGATAAGCCAAATGACAAATGATTTAGGTAAACTAGAAAAATGGTCAGAATTGTGGCAACTGACATTTAATGTGGATAAGTGCAAGATAATGCATCTTGGACGTAAAAACCCAAGGGCAGAGTACAGAATATTTGATAGAGTTCTAACCTCAACATGAGGAAAGGGATTTAGGGGTGATTATTTCTGATGACTTAAAGGTAGGCAGACAATGTAATAGAGCAGCAGGAAATGCTAGCAGAATGCTTGGTTGTATAGGGAGAGGTATTAGCAGTAGAAAGAGGGAAGTGCTCATGCCATTGTACAGAACACTGGTGAGACCTCACTTGGAGTATTGTACACAGTACTGGAGACCGTATCTTCAGAAGGATATTGATACCTTAGAGAGGGTTCAGAGAAGGGCTACTAAACTGGTTCATGGATTGCGGGATAAAACTTACCAGGAAAGGTTAAAGGATCTTAACATGTATAGCTTGGAGGAAAGACGAGACAGGGGGGATATGATAGAAACATTTAAATATATAAAGGGAATCAACACAGTAAAGGAGGAGACTATATTTAAAAGAAGAAAAACTACCACAACAAGAGGACATAGTCTTAAATTAGAGGGACAAAGGTTTAAAAATAATATCAGGAAGTATTACTTTACTGAGAGGGTAGTGGATGCATGGAATAGCCTTCCAGCTGAAGTGGTAGAGGTTAACACAGTAAAGGAGTTTAAGCATGCGTGGGATAGGCATAAGGCTATCCTAACTATAAGATAAGACTAGGGACTAATGAAAGTATTTAGAAAATTGGGCAGACTAGATGGGCCGAATGGTTCTTATCTGCCGTCACATTCTATGTTTCTATGTTTCTATGTTTCTAAGTACATAAAGATTATATTGTAATAAGTACGAACGTCTGCTTTAGCTATAACTGGGACCTGGAAGGACACTGGGCTTCTGGAAATTGTCAAACTGTTTAAAAAGGGATTGACTACTTAAATAGGGATTTCTGGCACTGTACCTAATACAATCTGCTGTAGTGGTTATGGTGCCTGGAGGGCTCTGACTCCCACTTAGTGTAAATAGTTATTTAACCCCATAAGGGACAAAATGTTAAGTTCATACTGAACGACATAAAGCTAATATTGGAAAAATAATCTTTTTGTATAATGGCATATTTATGGTATGCTCAAATGTGTTCAAAGGTAGAAAAAATGCATAAAGGCACCTAGATTGCAACTGTTGGTTTCACTATGGTCAGGGCCAACGAGTGTGCTATGTGAGACCATAAAGGCATCTTCTGCTATAGGTTTTCTTATTTCACACCTCCTCTCCAATTCATGGATTCATTTTACACATCGTCACTGATGAAGACTGTGATCTACGTGATATTTTAAATGATTATTTACACTAATGGAAACAATAGAAACAGCTTTGATGAAAAATCATTCCGATTTCAGAACTCTAAGATCACCCTCTGATTCTTACTTGAGCCTGTAACAAACTCTGGAATTTAGAGAAGACGCTAGCAAGTCCCTAATTAGTGTAAATAGTAGATCCACAAGGTAAGTATATTGCTTGAGATTAATTAATATGTTTTATAAGATTGGCACTGCTTAGAAATATTTGCACAAACACTTGAAAGTTGACATTGCACTTTGTAAGATTGGCACTTTGAGAAGGTATTTATACAAATTAATATCACTTTAGAATAATTCACTAAGCGCTCCACCATAACAACTTACACATTTTTGGATATTTAAAGATATTTAAAAGGTAACTTGAGGTGGTAAGTGCAGCTGATTAAAATCACTAAAAAGCTTTTTACAACTAGGCCACATTTTAAAGTGCTTTATAACATATATTTTTAGTCACCTATACATTTATTATATATCTTAACATTTTTCAGAATTTGCAATAATCTTACTATATACCAAAGCATGAAAGTCTTTAAATATGTTACCATTATAAGCTTTTCAAATGCTTCAGTGTACAGGGGATATGCATGTGGTCTGGTGGACAAATTAAATATTATCATTAAGCAAGGAAAAGAGCTAAAATTGCTGTCAATATGAATCACTATAATACATGCCATTAAGAGAAAAATTATCCCAAAGGCAAAATATAGGTGAAGTAGAGATCTGAAAAAAGAAATTGATATTAAGGATTGGTTACTGTCTTACAAACGGTAATTGTAAGTCAGCATACCAATCCTTAATATCAATTGTAATGGTTTTTAAAAACTCAATTGCCAAAAACTGGAAAACCCCCAAGGTCGAAAATTATGGACACAAATTAAAGACACATAGGAGAAATAGCAGCATGTCAGAGGGGATTGATGGATAAGATGTCTGTGTTGAAATAATTTAGTAAAAGTAGTGTGTGAAGAACTGTGTCAGGTGAGAGAGTGAGCTGGGCTATGGTGGTGAGGGAACTGATGAGGGCAATGAAATGAGAGGTATAAGAGGTCTGTTGAGAGAAGAGTAAATTTTGTTTGGAGTGGAATTTGTGAGGGCTTTGTAGGTTAGTGTTAGCAGTTTGAATTGGATACTGAAAAGTATAGAAAGTCAGTGTAATGATTGGCAAAGGGGTGAGGTGTGCGAGTAGCGGTCAGTCAGGAAGATAACCATTCATTATTTAAACTGATATTGACATTTTTGCCCTTATCATTTATTTTCTAAATCTTAAAATTTCTTTGGGAATTCTGTGATTTTTCCGTTCTCCAAGCAAGAGATGAGATGTTTTCTCATTTGATGATGAAGATATTTGCATGTTGCATTTCTTCCACTGAGCAACTCAAAAGCATTTGCAATTGCGAAAACACCACAATCGTCATAGTTTGGTTGCTGGTCCACTTTCCGCATGTGAACTCGTTTAAGTGGGTTCTTCATGACATTACCATAGAATTGGCCAATCTCTCTTCTGGCTGAAGAAGACAGGTGTGATGTTCTTAAACTGTCCACAACCTCAACAATCCCTTTCTTGAAGGCTGTTGTGAACCAGTGGTGACGGTTCGCATCATAATGAATTTGAACAGCCTCCCTGGTCACAGGCGTCATGCCAATTTGTGCTAGGACACAACTCTGCAATCCATCTGTATCGAACTGCATTTTAAGAAGAGTCTGGGCAGCATCAATTATTGTGTCATCTAACCACTTATCATTGATTATAATGTCCTTGTGCTCATGTGTGAGGTTGAGCCATGGTAGCCATTGCCCATCTTGCTTTTTGTCAACACAATGCACATCTGTGTGTGGTTCTTGGTCCTTCTCAGGTATGTCACTAGGACCTGTTTCTTGTGACACAGGTTGTTCATCAGCTTGAGCTGGTATGGTTGGTTCATTTCCGTTTTGTGGAAAAGTAGGTTCACTCACTTCATCTAGCACGGTTGGTTCATTTACGTTTTGTGGAAAAGTTGATTTATCTACTTCATCTGGCACGATTGGTTCATTTACATTTTGTGGAAAAGTTGGTTCAACCACTTTATCTAAAACAATTGGCTGATATGATTCTTGGAGAAAAGTTGTTTTGCTCTTATGTAGAAACTCTTTTTTGAATTGAGCAGCAATCTGATGTAATATTTCCTTTTTAATATTTTTGATGCTCAAAGATTTCTTTGCTTTCTGTTTCTTAGGATGGAAAAAACATCCTCTCAGATAATCTGATGCATCTAATTCCACAGTATTGAACGTAGTGACTCCTTGATTGATTGAAGCACCACATGAGTCCTGTGTGATTATACCAGACACACATTGTTCTTTTTGAGGAACACATGGTCGTTTATCAACTTGAGCTGGCATGGTTGGTTCATTTCCGTTTTGTGGAAAAGTTGATTCACCCACTTCATCTGGCATGGTTGGTTCATTTACGTTTTGTGGAAAAGTTGATTCATCCACTTCATCTGGCACGGTTAGTTCATTTCCATTTTGTGGAAATGTTGATTCACCCACTTCATCTGGCACGGTTGGTTCATTTACGTTTTGTGGAAAAGTTGATTCACCCACTTTATCTGGGACAATTGGCTGATATAATTCTTGCAATAAAGTTGTTTCGCTCTTATGTAGAACCTCTTTTTTGTTATGAGCAGCAATTTGATGTAATATTTCCTTGTCAATATTTGTGATTCTCAAAGTTTTCTTTGCTTTTTGTTTCTTAGGATTCAGAGAACATCCTCTCAGATGATCTCTTGTGTCTAATTCCACGGTATTGGAAGTAGTGACTCCTTGATTGATTGAAGCACCACATGAGTCCTGTATGGTTATACCAGACACAGGTTGTTCTTTTTGAGGAACACATGGTTTCTTCTGGCACCTGATATGCCGTTTGTTTACCTTCATCTGAACACATAATGTTTTATTTCCATAAATTTCAAGTTTTTTTACAACATTCCTTTTGATTTTTCTTATAATCGTCTTCGCATTTTGAATCAGTGTTTTGGCATTCTTGCGGCTCTTCTTTTCAGAAGGACTTACACTTACCACAAAGCCATCACCTTTCATGTTTTTTCTTGCCGTCAAACCTGTTTTAAACAAAAAATAATGAACATATGGTTAGAGAAAGATCAAAAAATAAAACTTATGTATCCTAATCACAGAATTTTATGAACATTATTAATATGTAAGTATTCCATAGATTAGACGTGCCCGTGGCATGTATTAGGTGATGCAACCTTAACTAGGTTACTGAACAAGAACTTTAATAAAAAAAATGCCTTGAATATGGTGGAGATTATAGTAATATAATATTCTGCATTTTGTACTTTCAATCTATTATTTTGATATAATATATATATATATATGTGTGTGTGTGTTAATCAAACGTGTTTCATTTTATTTATCTAGAAATGCTCTTGTTCATTCTTCATATTTATTAAGTTATTGGAATTGTAACATAGCGAAATAAAATATATTTCGCATTTTCAGATTTAAAAGAATGTAAAAACTCAAATATCGTATATAAGTGTGCCCCTTCCCGTACTCACCTAATGTCTCAGTTATCCAGCTAATTAGAAATGAGATCCCGATGATCTCCATGTTCACTTTTTATGAAGCGAACATTCTGTTGTAATAGGTCTGATCTGAAAAAAATATATATAAACATGTTGTTTTGCATGGTGATGATATGACATGTCACAAACACACTGATATGCACACGTACCAGCCTTACACATAAAAATAACATTATTTATTTAATTAATAAATTCTTCACAGAGATCGATACTAAATTTAAAACCACTTTACTTTTGTACTCCATAAGATTTGCATCATCCAGGACAAAAAACATTATAAAATTCTCTATAGATGGTACCCAACCCCATCTCGATTATTTAGGTTGAACCTACTAGCCGCTAATACATTTTGTAGAGGTTTTGGCCAAACTGGTTCTCTGTACCATGTTTTTTGGGATTGTCTGAAGATTAGTAATTTAATTATATGGCAATAAATACAAATATAATTTATAACTTAGTTAAAACGATGGATAGGTCCATAATTACATTGTCCTCTAAACTATGTATATTTAAAATATTCCCTAATAACATAGATAAACCTTCCAAAATAATCCTAGGTCGTCTTCTAATAGCAGCTTCCTCTAGTATTCTCCGTTACCGGAAAGGTCCTGACATATCATCAATAAAAAAAGTTTTATATTAGTTATTCAAAAATAAAAGATGTGAGTTGGCATTCAGACCACCATCGGTAATGGTTGATTTAATGAGACATCAATGGGCTATGTAGGAAGACAATATCAAGACTGACTTTTATTTATAAATATAGCCTCCACTTGACCGTACATAATGTATAATACTTCAATGCCTACACACTGTGCACAAGACATGTAAGTTTTTTTAATTCAAAACTTTACTTATGTTATATATGTTATTTGGTAATTATACCATACATGCAGATATCATTGGATTATTTTATTATTTAATATATTTGTTTATTTGGTGTGTTGTTTTTTTTGTTTCATCCCCTTTCTTTTTATTGTTATTATGTTTATTGTTATTTACAAAATTGTTCAAATTTTCAATAAAATTAATTTGATGTAATCTCAGATTTTAGACCAGACTAGTTCAACTGGAAGCCGAGCTGTGTTGTAGAGACTTTACAATTCTGCTTTTGGTGCTATTGAAATTTATTTTTAATTCCCATCATTTCTCACTTTAATAAATAATCCTGAGAGTGATACCCTATGTACTAAACCAGCGATTCCAAAATAGTCCTTCGGCTATGGACTGTATCTCCTGTGTCAGTCATAGGTTAGATAAGCTGGAATCATTACCCTAGGGAGGTCAAGAGCTTTAATAAAATAAATGTCATGAATATGGCGCATCCTTGGCTAATTCTCGTAATGTAAAATGGGTCTTCCTAATTGACTGAGAATTATGTATTATACAGGTAAGAATTATATATATTGTCTTGGCTTCATTAGTATTTTTATTGGATATTTACTTTTTCCCCCATTGTCAAAATATGAATAAAATAATATTCTGCCATTTGTACCTTCTATCTAGATTATTTTGCTGTATAATATATATATATGTTATTCGAACATGTTTCATATTATTTATATAGAAATGCTCTTGTTCATTCTTTATATTTATTAATAAATTATTGAAATTGTAACATATCTGAATAGAATATGTCAATGTTACATCACGATCCATTGGGGTTATCCTGGTGTCTGATGATTAACATATAAAGCTATATAGCACAAGGCAAAACATTTATTTCCTACTCACTGGGTATTAGAGCATCACTGGCTATTTGCAGAAACTGATATTTTTGTGCCTTATTTATTCTAGTAAGAGTTTAATAATCAGGGCAGATTATACCTATGGTCAATAAATACTGTGTTCTAGACATGGACACCAATTGTCATTCTTCCGTCCCATTTACCGTTGTGCTAATACATTGTTCTAAACTAGTTCCTTATCTCATCTCATTTATTTGCACTAGAGTGTTAACTGAATGACAGTTGGTACACTTAATTTTTACTTATATTGGGGTTATAAATTGTGTGTTGGATTTTTATGTGGTGGAGCTATTATAATGACGATGTATTTTTAGGCTTAAAATTGGTAGCAATGTAGAAGGATTGTATTCTCAAGTATTAGGGAATTGTGGTATCAAGTGCTAACTGTAAAGCTTACACGTGAAGTAAATTTTTATTTTTTTTTAAGTATTTTAGATTACTGCTGCATATCTGTTCAGAGCCCAACTGGGTTTTATTGCCTTTGTTTGTATGTGGTACAATGACAATAAATGTTAATCTGAATCATCTGCAATTATATTTTTATATGATCCTGAAATATTTTCTTACTAATTGGCTAATTCAATTAATGTTAAAAGAAATCACAGCTCTATAGGATATCTAATATGATCCAACTATTTCTGTAATTTCCATTTGTCATTTGTCCTCTTTTTCAGATTTATGAGAGTGTAAAAACTCCAAAGCACTCACCTAATGTCTCTGATATACAACTAATTAGACTAATTAAACTTGTTCACTTTATATGAAGCGAGCTTTCTGTTGTAATAGCTCTGATCTGAAACAAATTAAAAAAAGGTCTGGTCTGAAAACAATATATATAAACAGGTTGTTTTGCATGGTAATGGTCTGTGATGGTACAGATGTACCAGCCTTACGCATAACAATAAGATTATTTTATTTAAAAATCAAAAAATTTATAATATTGTACTAGATAAGATTTGTATCAACCAATGCAAAAAACTTTGTTGATTGGTTTCAACTCAGAATTAATTATGTGAGCTGTGGAAAATGTCTACCATTCCAATAACATTTGACCTGATTCAAACTTAACTAATGTTGCTAATTAAAAAGCCAAAACTAGTAGTGGCTTGAGTGAGGTTACTTTTAGTTTGTGTTTTTGTATGGAATGGTGCTGAGGCCACACACACTGTATCTCGGAGTTCATTTCTAGCCTTTAATAATGGGTGAAAGAGACTTACAGGGTTATTTACCAAGGTAAGAATAGTTGGGAATTCAAAGCAAATTCATGGTGAATCTCAAATTTGAATGCGTCCCGCACTTGGAAAAACATTATAAAATGCTTTTAGATGGTACCATCTCGATTATTTAAGATGACCCTACTAGCCTGTAGTGCCTGTTGGAGAGGTTGTGGCCAAACTGGTTCTCTGTACCATATTATTTGGTCATGGGCAAAGATTAGAAATCTTTGGGATCCTATTCATAATTTAGTTAAAATGATTGTTGGGTCCATAATTACATTGTCATCTGAACTATGCCTATTTTAAAACCGCTCTAGTAACATAGATAAACCTACCAAAATAATCCTAAATTGTCTTCTAATAGCAGCTTCCTCTAGTATTCTCCGTTACTGGAAGAACCCTGAAATATCATCAATAAAAAAAAAAAGTTTAGTACTTGTTATTTAGAAATAAAAGATGTGAGTTGGCTGGCAGACCACCACTGGTGAAGGTTGATTTACTGAGACATCAATAGGCTATGGGGGAAGGCAAAATCAAGAGTGACTATCGTTTATAAATATCTCCTCCACTTGAACGTACATAATTTATAATACTTGGATTTTTACTTTTTTCCCATAGTCAGAATATGAAGATTTCCACATTATCATTTTTTCTCATTTTTTCCCCCTATAAATATGTGCCTTTGCCACTATGTCATTCTCCTAATAACATTTAAGATAAGTGTCAACCTACAATTTACTTTTTACGTAACTACTTAAATAATGACCGAAATACTATTCAGCGGTTTGTACCGTCAACTAGATTATCTTGCTATGTTTTTCATATTATTTGTCTACAAATGCTACTGTTTGTTCTTCATATTTATTAGTAACTGTTTGGAATTGTAACATAGCGGAATAGAATATATGAATGTTACATCATGATCCATTGGTGTTATCCTGGTGTCTGGTCATTAGCATATAAAGCAGACGGTAAAACATTCCTTTTCACTCATTACTGAACGTCATATGTTTGTGTCTTATTTGTTCTAGTAAAAGTTTAATAATCAGATCAGATTATATTGATGGCCAGTAAATAATGTGTTCTAGACATGGACATCAATTGTCATTATTCAGTCCCATTTACCCTTGTGTTGATATCCTCATAAATCGCTCTAAATTTGTTCCGTATCTCATCTGCTAATATATTCTTACATGATCCTGAAACCTGTTCTTACTAATTGGCTGATTCAATTGGTGTTAAAAATATATCCCTGTACTGTAGGGTATCTAATTTATCTATGGACTTTTTATTTGTTAATTGTCCCTTTTGTCAGATTTAGGAGATTGTACAAACTCCAAATATTCTATATAACCGTACCCCTTCCGCACTCACCTAATGACTCTTATATCCAACTAATTAGGAATGAATTCCTTATGTTCACTTTTAACGAAGTGAGCTTTCTTTTGTAAGATCTGCAATGTTATGTCCAACCACTTCAGATACCAAGCAAGTTCTGAGATGAATAAGCCTGGAAGTTGGTCTGG